TTTTTCATGACACTGAACTTAAGTGATGCATAAGGTACAATTAGTATAGGAAGCGCACGGAGCGCGCACGGCCTTGAGTACGATTTGGAATTAATTATGTCACGAGTTTTTGTTTCAACAGTATAGTAGAGCAGAGTCACTTGAACCATGAAATAGAAACTAAATACTTATCGTTCGTACTTTTTAGATTTTATTTCATTGTTCATGTGATTCTGCTCTACATTCAGTGAAACAAAATTGTATTATATTATTAATTATATAAAAGACACGTTACCACCATAATGTGCGTTCATTCCAGCTTTTTTCTTTGATGTTGGTTTCCATTCCATTACAATTTTGGTGATACATCAAACAGTCGTGCTTAAAAATTATTTTAGTAGCATATTTTAAATTTGAAAGTACAAACTGATATAATGATCTTTTGATGACTAAGGAGTACAATTAATTACGTTGTAATTGTAGTCCTCCCTGGCAATAAAAAGGATTATTGTGTTGAATATACTAAAAGCACAGTTATTAGCTAGAATAAGATCTGCCCATTTACTTGATAGTACATCTTTTATTCTTCCACATGGCAGGGTATTCTGCAATCGATTTCATTTCTACCAACAGATTGATTATAGTAGTGAAGAAACTCAGGAGCTATCAAGTCCCGAGACTTTCATGACAAAGCTAAAGAGAAGATGGATCGAAAAAACTGTAATGACTAGAAACAACAGTGTGTTTTCAGTAAAAGTGGGTGAAGTACCACCAACAATGGCACCCGCAGTTGTTGGTGCTGGACTAGTAAATACTGAACACCTATCTCAGGGAGAATACTCAGCCCGATGGTAAGCAAATAGGTTTTTGTACTTCCATAGTGGTTAATACCAGAATTTGACCAAAAATGTTGTTGGATTGGAAATGAGAGATTTGAACCTAACATCACTAGTTGCACACAATGCCGATCTCCGCTATCCAGTTCACTCCGTATTCCTATCATTCCAGAACTTTTTATATGCTGATAATGAATTAAATAACGCAATAGAGAGCATTTGTGTATAATGTTATAGCTATTTCCAGTGATGTTTTATAGGAGATCCTGCTCAGCTTCCCCGTCTTATTTCAAGTGGCCTTGAGTTGAGTTTCACCCCACAAACGAGTTTAGAAGAGCTGTCAGAGATTTCAAAGACCTGTCGCCTTCCTTATAGCGGAGTATCTAAGGTTGGTGGTCAAGTGATAATGATGCATACAATCAACTGCTCTTAAAATGCAAGTACAAGCAAGGACAGCCTTGTTCTTTCCTAAGATAGAAAACATATAGGGATAGCCAATACATTTGCACGCACAGAACCAATTGCAATTAAGCCTGCTTGCACTGGAATTTTGGGAATATCCAATAAAATAACAAAGGCAACAATACATTTCATCTAAACATTTTATTAAAGAAAGCAAAACTGAATAAAGCAAAGATAAATGTA